GGGGGGGTGTGGCGGTGGACAGAGGACGGACTGGGAGAGGAGGATGGCAGCTGGAGCTTCGGTGCAGGGCGAGCTTGGGGAGGAGGAGGGAGCCGGGGGGGACGGATGGAGAGGGGGCGAATTGTGAGAGAGCAACCCAGGCATGCGGCGCCCTGATGTTTTGCCATACAGTGCCGTTTTTAACACATGCTCCGCGTGCGGACCATGTCTTAAGCATGCAGGGATTTACGTTGCAGTGATTTAGGTTTAAAAAACAACGATGAGCTCATGCATACACTTACTCATATATTACTCATGCATTAAAACTCTGATATGTTTAAACATCCGATGTATTAAAAACTGCCCTGTACTGGGCCCCCGGAAGTCCCGACCCCGTTCCCCGGGGCCGGTCTTCCCTCCTGCAATCGTTTCTGTGTTTGCCGGCCCCGAGGCCCGCCGAGGGCAGCCCGATCGGCACGGAGCGAAGCGGGTATTGACGGAGAGAACGGGTGCAATGCCCAGCAGCGGCTCCTGCTCGCCAGCCTCGAACGTATCCCTATCCCCAAGGTCGACACGCGAAAAGGAGATGACAATCTTAGGGATCCACCCTCAGAAACTGAGGAAATCGCTGAGATCGCCATCGTGATGGGGCGATGCCCAACATAGGGATAGGGATATGTTCCAGGCTGGTAAACTGTTCATGTTGAACAGGACTCGCTGTCGGTGTCGCCGCGGCCTGCTACACTTGGGACAGAAGGCCGCCTGCCCGGCAGCGGCCGCTGCGGGTCTGGGGCAACACTTGCTGCTGGGCGTTGTACCCACTGTTTCCGTACCCCATTTCGGGCGTCCAAGCCCGAGGCCGAAATCGGCCAAGGCCTTCCCGTCCCGATTTTGCTACGACGCGAGCAGGTTTGCTATGACTTGTGAGAGAGCCACGGAGAGGGGGGAGGCCGGGGAGGAGGAGAAGGATGGCGCGGCAGTGGCGCCGACGACGAGGTCGAGTCCGGAGGAGGAGCAGACCGGCGGGGCGTCCGCGCGGATTTCTCGGATCGGCGTTGGGGCCCCTTGGCGGCGCCTTCAGCGCCGCCCCCGGCGCGCTCCGCGCGCCAGGGAGGGGGGTCCAGCACGGATCCAAGAAATCCGCGCGGACCTCCGAGTTTTTATGATTATGCCATTTCTCGGTTCACTAACGTAGCGTTTGGAGCGCCCCAAGATGATCCCGACCACGCCATCGACACCCTTTGCCTCTTCCGCTTTATGCCCAGGTGTCCAAGACAGCTAAAGCATAATATGTTGAATGGCCTTCGGCCCATTTCGTCACCGTGCCTGGGTTGTGGGTCTGAGGCCTCGCGGATGTTCATTAGGAGGCAGTTTTGAGGCCTTCGGGGGGCTGGTTTGAAGTATGGTGGAGCATCTTCGGGGCCTCTTGGGGGCCTCCTGGATCGTCGTGGGGGCCTCTTGGGAGTCTCTTGGGGTCTCTTGGCAGCCTCTTGGGGGCCTCTCCGGGGCCTCTCCAGGGCCTCTTGGGGGCCTCCTGGGGCGGAAGGCTTGGATTTTCGGTTCGCGTTCTCCCTCCCGGGCCCCCTCTGGGGGCCGTCTTGGGCGCCTCTTGGGCCGTCTGGGGGCCCTCTTGGTCCGTCTTGGGGCCCTCTTGAAGGCCTCAGGGGCCGTCTTGAGGCGATCTTGGAGGCCTCGTGGGACGTCCTCGAGCGTCGGAACCTCGATTCGTGGAGAGCCCCCACACCATGGAACAGCTTCTTACGGAGAGCCAGCGATGGGAAGGCTCGTGTGGCCTCTCCAGGACTTCTTGGGCCGTCTTGGGGCCATCCTGAGGAGGAGGAGGAGGAGGAGGAGGAGGAGGAGGAGGAGTTTTTTAACCCGCGTGTTCCCGCCCGCAAGTGGGTGCCCCTGGTCTCGTCACACCGCGCGGGCCGAAAGGCCCGAGGCGGGGTGGGCCAGCGGCCTCATCTCACGGCGTCTTACTGCCGCCACTCTGTGACTCATGGAGTCGCCCCGAGAGCAGCGGCAGTCTGAAGAAATGCTGCCGCTGCCCACTCAGAGCTTGAGGAGCAGCCTGATGGACGGCCGCTGCCGCTCCTCCGCTCTGCGCTCTTCCAGGGACCGCCCTGGCTGCTGGTCCCTGGACTCATGGGCCTTCTCGATCGCCCTGCCTGGCGCAGAGCTGTGGCCTAACCCCTCGCCACGCTGGGGCACGTTGCGGCCTAACCCCTCGCCGCGCAGGGGTCCTCCGTGGCCTAACCCCTCGCCTCGCTGGGGGTCGGTGCGGTCTAACCCCTCACCGCGCTGGGGATACTCGTGGCCTAACCCCTCGCCACGCTGGGGGCTGCTGCGGTCTAACCCCTCACCGCGCTGGGGCGCTCCGTGGCCTAACCCCTCGCCACGCAGGGGCCTGTTGCGGTTTAACCCCTCACCGCGCTGGGGTGCTCCGTGGTGGCCTAACCCCTCGCCCCGCTGGGGTGTGTTGCGGTCTAACCCCTCACCGCGCTGGGGCCCATCGTGGCTTGACCCCTCGCCACACTGGGGGTCAATGCGGTCTAACCCCTCACCGCGCTGGGGAATGCCGTGGCCTAACCCCTCGCCACGCTGGGGGCTGCTGCG